TCGGGGACATTACTTTTAAGTTGTAATTACGCGGGCCCCTAAATGCTCCCTTTACCTTCCGAGAACGCGTTTTAGCCCGTGAGGTGGTGATGATTCCAAGCCCGCTGGATGCTGAGATTCGGTGCTGTCCTAAACGTCGTCTTACAGGGGACTCCTACCCCCCCCCCATGTATTTCCCCCATCTGGCCACCGCCCCACTCTAGACAAGCTCTAAGCTTTGGACTGGTCCTCCGACTTGTGTGGTAGTATAGTGCATGTACATTTAAGTGATAGTGTGTAAGTAAGAGGTGAGTTTAGGACAAGGAAGAGAAAGGCAAGATAGCGAGCGGTCGTGGCCCGTTTATTAGGGTATTACTCAGGCATACGCATGGAAATGAACACTTGGAGAAACAACAGGAAACTGAAGATCAGAACAGCGGTTCTCTAGAATTCTCATCCTTTCAGCGGCTGAATTCATCCTACGAATATAGCTAGAGTCAAAAATCCGAGGAGTCGAATCTTATGCCCTCCAGGTGGAGGTTGCGTAGTGAAGGCGGAAATGCGACTCTGAGGTAAACTCAGCCAGCGATTTATTTATTACACAGGCACTCAAAAAAAAGTTGTCAGACCGAAGGATTTGACACATCTCTATGTATGTTAACGTCCTGAATTAAAATCTGAAGCCAGAATTGCGCCACCCTTGAGTTTTGTTTTAAATCGTGAAAACAACCGCAAAATAATAATGTAAATTTCTCAGTGTCTGTATTGGCTATTTAAAAACAATAGGAGTGGGCACAATTCTGATTTTATATTCGGATTCAGCGCATCGACATACACAGAGAAGCATAGGACAAGTCTTTGGGATACACCATTCTTTTTGTATGGCTTGTGTTATTTTGTGTTTCCAATTGCATCTACTGCTATGGTCATATGTCCCGTAAGTACGGTATGCGTTTTTCCCCACGTGGAAGCGTAAGATCTGGCGCCGAATCCTCACCCCTAAAACTTGGAAATTAAAATACTCAAATATTCCAATTGTTTTGTATTTTCAAAGCGACCGAAGTATGTTACCTGTCAAACTCATGACTGATGCAGCAACAAGCAATTTATTGAAATCGTCGTTTCACAGCCTCACTGAATATTTGAACTTCTTTGAAGAGACGAAATAATTCAACTTAGAAATAAATTGTGAACTTCACAATTCGCTAATTTATTATATTTTACTTTTGTTAATCATTGTTAATTTCTGAAGAATCATCATGAAAATTATTTACCAAATCTCACGTACTGGTTATATTAAAAATTGTTTAGAAAATTTATCTTCCATGCTTCAAAGTTCTGATAAGATATCGAATTCGAAGAGGAGACAGAATTGAAGAATATTTAATGTACAGTCTTCACTATCTTACGGAACGATAAATATTTCAATGAAGTTTCCTGTTCGCATAAAACACGTTCATTTCGTGTATTGTTTATGAATTCGACTCTTGAAATGATTTCTTAATTATAACTTTCGTTTATCACCATACGAGGAAGGAGGTTCTGATTTTGACCATAATATTTTTTGTAATAATTTTTTTGTTGATTCCATTTTCCGTAAATGAATACTCACTATGAATTCTAAATAGGACAAAACTATCCCTTTTCGAAACAACAGTTTTGAGTTACGCAAAATTATGCTTATCAGACCCGTGGGGATAATGTTTGCTTCGTAGTATTCCCGTTATCTTCTTAATTCCAACATTATTTTATTCTGGATTTTGAAAATGAATGGTGGTGTGTTTCAGCGTCATCTGCTGCTCGAGGCAAAAGTTGAAATAATTTAGGATTCGATTCTCTGGCGTGAGAACGGCCTGACCTTGCACGTGCGCGAGCAGCACCTGCTGGAAGTGAGGCGATATCGAACATCTAGACTTTCCCCAAAGATTAATGATTGGGCTCCGAACTGCAGTTTTGTGTCGCAAAACATCCGCAACGGCGGGAGAGAAATTAATTTCTGCTAGACAGGTCGTGCTTGGACCTTGCTTGTAGAATGCCAGATATTTAGGAACACTTTAATTACTATCGTTTTAAATGTTTCATATTTTTCAAACTCTGAAAACTCTGAAGTATTAATTAGCATTAAACATTAAATTGTTCTCTCTCTTTTTGTTAAAAAAATCCAAAAACAATGAAGCAGTTTCGAATTTGACTGAAAAATGCAAATATTTGGTTGTTATTGTTGCTTGTTCCTCTCTACAGCACAGTATGAGAATCTCTCAGAGCATCAGCTGGACTGCGAGGAAGAGGAACTAAATATTGGATAAGAACCTGTAATATTATGGTGTAGCATTTTTTTGGTATATTTGTTTTGTAAAGAACTGTTTTAACATGTATCTGTAAATGCTACGCTACACAGATGAAGTAATCGTTAAGTCTGTTTTTGTTAGAATATCTTATTTATTTACGACAGTATTTTTTTTAGCAATGTATGTGCTAATATCTGCAAAACCGTTGAGTGTTTTTGCTAAGCAACATTTTGGAGGTTGAAGGTCACAAGTATATTACTAATTTCGGATATGTACATAAACTGACAGAAAATTAACAGCGTCTGTTGTCATGTGAAAGGTATCAAAGGGTCTTTGTACGTACAGTAACTCGACAGAAAATTGAAAAAACAATGAAACAGATTCGATTTTCAGTGGAAAATGCATATGGATTATGGTATTCCTCCAATTCTTATACTGCACGTACAGATTGAATTCTCGTACTTACTGAGTCATTGACAATATGCCACTGCTTTCGGATGACTTCATGAAACGAGGAAACAAGAAGCTTCTATATCATATATATCATATATATGAGTGCGATTTTCACACAATTTTCGGCTCACTAAACAGCAGTGTTTTTGTTGCTGCCGGTCAATAATAGAAGAGTGTCTCAATTCATAGGGCAAAAATAAGACCATTTTCTTCTGAATGAAATGAAAAAACATTTGCTCTGTCAATTTTCTGAAAACACTTTGGTTTTACACACTAGTTTCTTGGCGATTTCTTATCTTCTTTAAAGTTCAGAAGGTCGTTCTTTACATTGTGTCGACGCGCTAACGTTAGTTATAATTAATGCCGAAACATGAAACTACTTTATTCGTGTGCAAAGGTAAAAACGAGGGAAATTGCGGAAACGGTGTGCAAATTACTACAAACCTTACTCGCTCGCGGCCTAGCGATCACTCTATTTTAGGTCGTCAAAATCCTGACTCGCCAACAGCGGGCTGTCAAAATGGAAGTGCGCTCGCTATCTGCAAATGACGCCCCCTAATAACTAAACAACAGCGTTTACAAGCTTATAAATGTGTACACATTCACGCTGTGATGAAATGAAAAATAGGACAAAGCATATTCCATGGAAATCTATGCTTCTCATGCCAAAAGGAATTTATTTACTTTCAACATTACAAGAAATAATCGTGTATGTTTGCCTATCTGAAATACTCTCCAGTGTATTATTTTTATTGGACAAAATCCATTTTTAGCCGATGTATCGAGTTGTTTATAAAAAATAGTTATCATTTGAAATATATTTGAATGGACTAGGGTAAATGATGACTGAAATTGTGTTACAGATTACCCAGGTTTAATGAGGTTAAAATATGAAGCGCGTGATCTGTGACAGTCAATGACTCTTTAGGACGATATACAAGATGAAATAATTTTCACATATTTCGGCGCAATGCCCATTTGTTATGGAGGCGGAAACCGTAGGGTTCTGTTGTAATGCCCGCGAAATCGGCACCAAAGTAGGCAGTTTATTTTAAATTTTAGATGTAATGTAGCATTGTAAATTAAGCAGTAAAGTAACTCAGTCTTTTTTTAGGTAATACGTAGAAGCCAAATACCCGACCCTTGCAAGAAACTGGAAATGCGCGAACATATCAAAGAAAATTGCAGCATTATCACAGGAAACAAATATCACCAACGTCTTAAATTGCACTCTACTAGAAGATAAAAACCATTCTCATCAAAAGAAAATGAGTCTTCCTTCACACAAAAGTTTGAATTTCTATACACGAGACTTCAATAAAGCATTAAACTCTTCAAACATGTCATTATGAAAATATACCTCTACGAAACAGAAGCCAGGTTCCGGCAAATAATAAATTGAGGCAATATCAGTTCCACCCAAAAGCATCCCAACATACGCCTTCTCTGGTACTGGAGGACGCCACTTGATTGATTGGTGATTCCGGGCACGTTAACTGCTAAGAACATTAGTCCCGTAAGAGTAGTGCATAGTTATTTTCACGGGACGTGGCCTTTCTACGCTTAAGAACCGGCATCGACCGACAGGTAAGCTTGCAGTATGTCCTCTTCCAAGTATCTCCCAAAAGCGGAGCAGTGTCCCAGCGAGGAAAAGCTGTAAGTTCCCGTCATTTGTGGTAGTGCACTGCACGTTAGTGTAAGTGTGTGTGTGTGTGTGTTTAAAGGGTGAGAATGGGACAAAAAGAGGATGCAAAATATCGCGCGCGGTCCGTGCCTCGTTTTTTAGGTTACCAGACCTGCATTCGCCTGGTGTTGTTCGGAGAAACCCGAAAAACTACCGATCAGAGCAGCCATTAGCCAGAACTTTCCTTCAAACAGCGGTTGAACCCGTCCCAGTTACGTGGCTAGAGTCGAAACTCCTGCCACAGTGTTAACTCGAACGCTATCTCCCGTTCAAAGCCACTATGCTTGTCTCTGTGCCACCTACGCGCCAGGACTCGAACGCAGGGATCTCCCAGTCAGAGTCGCTGTCTCTGTGCCACCTATGCGTAGAGACTCGAACGCAGAGCCCTCCCAGTCAGAGGCGCTGTCTCTGTGCCATCTATGCGTCGAGACTTGAAGGCAGGGCCCTCCTAGTCAGAGGCGCGGTCTCTGTGCCACCTACGCTTCGAGACTCGAACGCAGGGCCCTCCCAGTCAGAGGCGCTGTCTCTGTGGCACCTATGTGTCGAGACTCGAACGCAAGGCCCTCCCAATCAGAGGCGCTATCTCTGTGCCAGCTATGCGTCGAGAACTCGAAGGCAGGGCCGGCTCCCAGCCAGAGGCGCTGTCTCGTGGTGGCACCTATGCGTCGAGACTCGAACTCACGCCGCAAGGCGCTCAGCGCAATAGAGGCGCTAGATCCTCTGTGCCAGCTAATGCGTCGAGACTCGAAGGGCAGGAGCCCTCAGCCAGTCAGAGGCGGCTGTCCTCTGTGGCAACTGAGCTGTCAAACGCCTTGAGACGGGGTGAGCCGGCGCGGGGGCGGGCGGTGTTTACGGGTGGCGCCGTCCAGCCGACTGCTAAGGATGCCGGTCGCTGCGCGGCGGCCGGCCACTGCGGCCCCATTGCCGCGCTCGTCACGCGCGGGGCGGCGCACGCCCGGCCAGGGGAGGTTTCGCCACTCCACGCGCCGCCGCGCGCCTCCGGGGCCGCTTCTTTCGGGGAGGCGGCCAAGGCTCGAACGCGCGACGCAATCGCGCGGCGCGGGGTATATATGCGCCCGCGGCGCTTCCAGCGGCACTGTCGTCTGCACAAGCACCACAGAACCTCCTCACCGCCAACATGTTCAAGCTGGTGAGTACTGTGACGAGTAGTCAGCGCTTGCGACGCCGTCCTCAACACGGTCGGTTTTGTCATAGAGAGCCTTTTGTCTCGTTGCATTCAAATTTTAATCAATTCAGTTCATGCCTATTTTGCGTGGCGGGCCATTCTGTTCAGGCTGGCTCTTCTGCCTGATGACGTAAATTTCGCAACGCTCCTTTCACCATCTGACGGAGAAAGAAGGTATAACTGAGATGACAAAAGATGTGAATTTGTCTCAGAGGCTTCTTTTAATGTTTGAGGACCATTCACATCTACAAGATAGGATAGCAGATTACATTACTGCAATAAATCTACAACATGGGACAGCCGGATTTACTTTATCTTCAAACGAAGGTGTATGAAGGTGTTATTTTTTCGACCTTACAAATCCACGGCTTTGATCAAACTTCATCCCACGAACTTTGATGTAACTGTTCGATACCGCAAACTTCAAACTGCATTTCGAACTGTAAACCGTTCCACCAACGAATCTGCATCAGACTCCGTACAGCTCTAAGACTGAGGGAAAAAAGTTTTGAAAAATGATTTCGTGACGATCCTCTCAAAAGTTTCTAAGATACCGTCAAGAAGTATCGTAGCTGATTCGTTTCCCAACTTTGGGAACTAGGGTCAATAATCCCAGCAATTTCAAATGGAATTTGTCAATCAAATTAAATTTGGGAAGGGCAATGCGGATTCAGAACAAAGGTTTTTTTTATACAATATTTAAATGGCCAGTCTTTCCACAAAACATTATAATCTTCAAATTATACATTAGTAATTTTTGCTGAAGGCTTATCGTTCTTCCTTCGTGAAATATTCAGTTATATCAATATTTATTTTTTAATAACTCTCTTTGTACATGCATATTTCATCTCATGGATGATTTGGAAGCATCTGGATGTCCACTACTTCATTTCCAAGATAATTTGACATTACTACCACAGGATTCGAAGAGAGCATTACATTAACTCGTGATTCACTGACATATACGATTTTAGCTACGAGAAACTCGATGTAAAACACTCAAAATAAGGTTAAATCGATTGTGGATGAAAATTATATTTCATTGCAAATAGCTAAAATTACATTGTTGTAAAAATCTTTGAATTCCATAGCTAATATTCGACAAATGTTTGCCTTCAACATTAAGCATTAACGAGGTAGTTACAAAAATGTGTACCGATTAAACCGAGTAGGACGTGTTAATTCTTTTTAAAACTGTGCCAGTTCCTTATTACACTTTGTATCCGGTCGAAGAAATTTTGTTTGTAAGTAAAATGAGGAAATCTTCATTGCTAATAATGTTCAACATAAGACATTCGACTCCACATCTTCAGTACAGTTCTATAAAATCCAGAAGGTACCTGCGCATTTTCGAAACGAACCTTGTATCTTCGATATCAACAGGCCAGTATCTACACGTTGTACCAATAAACAGTACCGCTAGATCCGCAGAGCAAGGTGCCGGTCACAGCGACCAACCGTGGAGGGACGGAACCGCCGTATGGAGGAGGAAATCGATCCCAGCCGTGAATAAGGAACCGGTTCGGCAGGTCAGGAGACACAAAACAAAGCCCACGGCGCTACTGGCAGTTCCGGAACCAATTCATGGACCTTTAGAACAGGATAAGCGAAGTTCAGTTGTTTGAGGAATTATATATATGTCATAATTGGCCATCCGCGCATTCATAATTCATGGAGATATGCGCACTGAAAATGAGAAAAATTGCCACGCAGTCTATACTGTAACTAGTAATTACAGCGTTTCAAACAACTACTTTAAACAATATTAAATGTACTTACGCAATCTTTCGATACTATTGCATCAGCAGCGGACTGTTTACGTTCCTTCACGTACTGTGGTTAAATGTTTGGTTTGGTGGTAAAATGTTTTCTGTGTGTAGGTGCTATTTTCTATAACCAATGTCGGTCGGAATAAAATTAAAGGTATATCAATTGAAGGTTATCAAAAGTTGCCGATTGAATTTCATGGGAGTTCCTCAGTTCGAGTCACATTACCAAAATTATATTTTTCCCGTTAATTTAAAAGTTAACTGTAAGGACGTGTGATAAAGCGTATGTTTAGATGACTGGATAGAACGGAAATATCTATAATACTTGTTCGTGTATTCATGTTTGATATTTAATTTCAATTCCTTTCGTCTAAACGAATGAGTCGTTAGTCGTCACACGGATTTCAGTAGAGAAATGTTGACATTCATCATAAAAGATCTACGAAGGCTGATCAACAAAGACTGAGACTGATTTTTTTCTGCAGCATCAGTGATAGTTTACTTTCAGTAAATATTTGAAAAGAACGGGTTATTATGTACAATGTCCTGAGACAGCAGCACTCTGGTCCCCCTCAGATCTGTCGGTAGGTCGTAATGCTCTATTTTCTAGCCACTTCGTGCAATTTGCAATACCAAACGATCGAGGTGACGTGGGAGGAACAGTTCATTGCAATAAAATTTTGTTTTTCATTTCCACTGAAATCTTCGAAAACCTTAAACAAGCGTACGGTGAAGATGCACTTCCTCGTGAAAGTGTTTAAGAGGTTCAAGGTTCGTATATTGCACTGAGAACCATTCTGACACTTCAATTAAATCTAAATTGACTATGTACTTTGAAACTGAGAGAATGAACTAAAAAATCTCGAAATCGTCATCTCAAAATGTGTAATTAGCATGACGTAGTATGTATACAGATTTTCTCAAAGAAATGACGTGAGAGTTTTGTGAGGGACATATTTAAACCGACTCCTCGAGACGTTCAATGTTAAATCAACATTTCAACCGTATTGCTGTCTGATGCTCATAGGTTAACATTAATTCAAAATTAATATTTTTCAAATTCACAGGTCAGGTAAATGTCGTCTCTATAAATAAATTAGCATTTTTTAAAAGAATAAGAAGTATGTTTTGAAATTTATGATTTTTTTCTTCTAGCTTCAAATTATTGTTTGTTACTTTCAAAAATTCAAATGCAAAAAACCTTTATCATTGCTTTTAACTTGAATTTCATCATGCAAACTTTGTTGCCCCATTCCTTCCCCTTTTGAGTTGAAACAGAGGTTCTTGAAGAAGGAATGTCTGACGCTTGTCTTGTGTTTGCAGTTCGTTTTCCTCGCCCTCGTGGCCGCCGCCGTCGCCGCCCCCAAGCCGGGCTTGCTCGCCGCCCCGCTGGCAGCCGCCCCCGTCGCCTACACCGCCGCCGCCTACCCCGCCGCCTACGCCGCCCCGGTGGCCGCCGCCTACAGCGCCTACCCCGCCTACAGCGCCTACGCCTACCCCGGCGCCTACGTCGCTCCCAGCCGCCTCGTCTACGGTTGAAGACGACGCTGAGTTTGGAAAATATGCTCTACCCTCCGGAATGAAGACGATTGAAACATCTTGTATGCATATTCGGCCAATGTGAAGGGGAAATAAACGTTTCGTTCATCTGAACCTGTCTCTCATTAATTATCTCAGTTTTGAAATCACAAACCCTTGAATCTTACCACTTTGGAAAATGTTACCGATCCAAAAAATATTATCTTATCATTCACGCTTTTTTCCGGATCCTAACATGCATGTACCATGCATTCACATATGTACGTAAATCTATTTAAGCCGACCATTTTACGCTCCCTTCCGGGAATATGTAAGATATACAATGTCCCTGTAACTCACATAACAAACTTGGTACAACATTTATCTTTTAGGTTAGTTTTAAACATTACAAAACAGAGGTAAAATATTTTCTATAATTACAGTGACTAGTACTCACTATCAACTCTGATATGAACATTTGTGTTTACAAAATATTTGAGCAATCGAGATTCAAATGTAAATATTTAGGAAAAAGAAGAGGAAAGGCGTTGGCCTTTTTATCTTGTCAAAGAACATCCCCGGCATACATTTAAGTCATAGTAAGATATTTATAACTCTTTTGAATCTTTAGAGATAAGTGGAAGAATTTGGAGACACTGCATAGGAGACTACTTGAAAGAGACATTTAAGTACAATTGTTGTTTGTGAAAAATTATCAAGAGCAATGTAAATATTGCCCAGAAACCACAAGTACTTTAAAACAATGCAATTATTTTTAGACATAATTTTCAGAAATATATAATAAAGAAGTTTTTAGATTCAAATTTGAAGGTGAGGGACAAATTCACAAAAAAATTCAACTTTGGCGATTTTCAAACTTTAAAGGATTTTAATCATCATCGGTTTTATATCATAACTATAAGCGATCTTTGCTTAATACAAGAAAATAATAATTGTTTTCTCATTAATTACTAACGAAAATATTTAGTCATTTTCAAAATATCATTTTAAGTCGGTTTTCTGACTAATATCATCTAAAGAGTTAGTTAACTTATTTCAACAAATCTCATTATCATTTACATTTGAAAATATAATAAACCTCTCATACATTTTCTGCTGATTAAAGATCTTCATCTGTACCAAAATATAATTAATCAGAATTTCTTGAAAACAAATTGAAGAAATCAATACAAAGAAAAACAATATGTAGGTTTAATTGTTTATTATATAAATGATCAACATACTCCATTTGAAAATAGCGTAAAATCTACATCGGTATTACTATAAATGCCCAAAAACGTAAGGGGGTGAGAAATTACGCATTAGTTGTTGTTTTTTCTGTTTTAAAGAGTAGATGTTATATCAAAACTAGTCGTTATTACTATCTGACCTTCTTATGATTAGTCTACAAATCTACACATAAAATAATTACGCTCAAAATCTTGATAAAGCGCAAACATATTAACTTTCCGGAACTAAGAACGAAAACGTTTGGTAAATATAGCAAAACTTCAGTATCCACCTACGATTAATATCCATAAAATCATTCAGTTCGTCCATTTGCATCTTATTATTTGAGTGAAAGTTGCTTAGCCTCGAGAGCGCAATAACCGACCACGAACAATGTCAACAACAAATGTGAAGTTATTGTTTTAAAACACATAAAGCCGCCTCATGCCAATTACCTCAAAAATACTTTTAAAAAATTATTTTACGTTCCTGACTTCTGGCATTCTGCTATTTCAAATAATAAAAGTTCTGACCAAAATAAATTTTCTTTATTTACAGTGAAATTACATTCAGCTTCAAAATTTCTACATTGCCTTTATTCATGTAGAGAAGAGAGAATGTGAATCACAATGCGAGTTCAACAATGGTTTCTTAAAGTAATCAGATTCACTTCTTTTCTGTTCAAGTCTCACAAGAAATATTTGAAATGACCTTCATCTGCCTGAGGACAACTCACTACTTGTCTTAACTTGACAAAAGTTTTCATTCATTATATCCAGCAATCAAAATACAACAAATTATTTCGCCCTGCACAGCAATCATTTACACCAAAGTATTTTAGTACTTCAAAAGGTAAAGGTCCAGGGGGTTTAAACCTCACAAATCTTATTGGTCTCACACACAACAAGTCTATGGGATTCGCCTCTGTGCCCAGACGGAAGGAAAAGAGTTCCGGATACTAGGAAATATTATGATCAAACTCAATTTTATTTCCTATACGCTTACTTACGTAGCAATTGTACTTATGACTATTATATTTATGATATTTTTTCATGATGTAGCACAGACAATTTAGTCCAGCGATATAAACATGTACTAACTTAATGAGTGTTCTAAAAGTTTGGGGAGCTGTAATTAAAAATTTCTGGACACATATTATATTGGAATTTCTGCCTTCTTTCTCTAAGAAGAATCTATTCATCAAGTTTTACCGTTGATTTCTTTTACATCCGGAAGGCGAGTGTAGTATAATATGTTAAACTTTATCGGTTCATTAATTTTAATTTTCGCTGAGTACCATGTCAATCTAGATTTACTGGTCCATAATTAGAACGTAGTCTACATTAAAATGAATCATCGTTCAGCAATAAAGTTGACTAATTTCACGTAAACTGGCAATACAGTTTTCTTGAAATTAAAATGAGAGTGAAGAATGAAATACGAATCTCCGCTCTATTACAAAGCTATGTCTCTTTTGATCAGAAACCTCTACGCAAATTGTAAAATTCTATTTTACAAGCATTCTTCAGCACAATCTGGGATTTATTTATACCTCATGTAGAATGGGCAAGTGACCAATAGGCTACAGATGTTCTAGTTCAGATGAAATTCAGACAACTAACCTCTTGGAATTACCTGAAGATACTAAAATAGTATTACATATTTTGAACATAACCCATAACTACTATAATAAAATAAAACGCCCTACTTTAGATGAACAAATAAAATTATGGTATAGCTCAGAAAAACGCTAGCTGTCATCCCATATCGGAGAGAATGCAAAGGAACAGTTATTCCAACCCGTATAGATAGTTCCATTCCGATAAGAAAACTGCATTGTGTTTATCCATCACGTGACTGCGAATTCCTTCCTCTTTCCCCTTGCCTCGTTTTTGTTCGCTGCCCGCTCACGCACCGGGCGTCCCTCAAGGCAGCCGCCGCAGCAGCCACCGCGCTCGAGTGTCGCGCTTCGAGGGACTCCGCCATTTGATCCGCCCCCACCGCCCCCGCC